CTCAGAGGTTCACCCTCTCTTTCCAGAGTTACAAGTCGCCTTCTTAACTACTTCTTGGCTTTTTCATGTACATGACATCATGGGTAGCGCTCCAATCACATCCTCTCCACTCCGCCCTACAGACTCCATGCAGCGCGCTTTAACCCTTAACACGCTCCCGTCTGGACCCACGCTGCGCGAGACGCGCATATCACCAGATAAACTGAACGGGGAATGCGAGTGTCAACACGTAAACAAGCGAAACCAAACAAACCGTTCGCACCAAATGTTTCAGAATCCTTTACGATGTGAGACTATAGGCGCGAGTAGTATGTTGTGAAAACATTTGTGTATGAAAGCTGTTTTCTCTCGCTCTCCACACTCTCTCTTAATAAAATACTGAAGGTGGCGCTTGGACACTGTTCCTGTGTTCATATATGGGTGATTCTTCAATTAAGGGAAATGTTCTGTCTTCTGGGATGGTTTCATATGAAGAAAAGCGTTTTAATAAAACAATCTATCCTAGAAAGTCATTCTAGGATAGATTGTAACAACTGTTTTGTGTATTTAATTAGCTGAAAAATAAAAAAAAAACAATGTTGAAATGTTAAATTATCATTATTCCCTATACCCAGACATTACTATAACCTCCCCTATTTAACACATATATAAAATGTGTTAAAATCAGAAAAAAAAACGTAATTTAGATAGATAGATTTGGTATACTGCTGTCATTTCCATGACAGTTTCATGTTTTATTGTGTATGAAAGTAAAAAAAGAAGCTAGTTCAAGGCTAAACTACAAAAAAAACATCCCACATTATAGCAATAATCCAAACTAGCACACATCAAAACCCACCTGAAGTTTGATCAAAGTAAAAATCAATTATCAATTATGCAAGGACATGTGATACATATTTCAACATAGAAAAATATATACCTTTTAACAGTGGTGTAGTGGTGCCTGGAGAAGTGGGTATACTCCTAATTTATGCCCCCATTTTTTAAGCGGCCCACCAAAGGATGAACGGCCTGTGTTATAAACAGTGACGTAAGACTAGTCTTGCATATTTAGTTCACCCCAAAATGGGCCAGTAGTATTTACACATTTTCACTTACTGTAACTTCTGCTACTTGACTTCACGGAGTAAGGATCATTATGAAAATAATATTAGCCACAAAAGAGGTGCAGATTTTGCAATAAATAATTAAAATGTAAAAATTACATAGACTGCAACAATTAACATTTTGTCAGAGCCTCTAGTAGACAAGCTATTTTGTTTAGTTATCTGTAGGAGGATCATGATCTCTATTTGATACCAAACAATTTTTTTTTAAATTGTGCGGCCTACTCCTATGTTTGACTGACTGTTTCTTCCATGGCATACAGTGACGGGCAAATAGTAACCCCCTACTTCCCCCATACATTTTTACAATTTATCTATATAGCCTACTATATAGTGCAAAAATTAAATAAATAAATAAAATAAAAAATAAAATAGTTTAGAGCATTTTTAATACAATTAAGCACTAGTCAAGCTGCAATATCAAACAGGACCACAAGGAGACGCCAAAAGATCACTAAACCTACTGCCTTGACCTGACTGTACAGGCTTCTATACGGATCCATTCAGAATCTAAAAAAACACCTTCAGGCTTCAGCAGCGTCCATTATAAAACACTCGTGCTTTTAAGCCAAATACACGCTCAAAAGAAAAATTTCCTGCCATTTGGACCCGAGTCACTATTCTCTCCGTCATCTCTGATGAAATCGTCCGTGTTTTCTCTGCATTAGCGCTGGTTTGAACTTATTACTTTACTAATGCATTCCCTTACTGGATCCTTGAACTTTCCAGAAGTTTACCGGATTCAAATGACCTCTGGGTAGTGTGAT